AACTGCAAAACCATTCTTGTTTGTTCAACAAGTACTGATAAAGTGTCTTGTATTTCCTAGGTATTGTGGAAAATGTGCCACTGAGGCAAGGGGTTTTCTTCACTTACTGCAGGGTCTGGCCAGTGGCCCCTCACACCAGAAATCTGTCCCCACTGTCAAGCACAGGGAATAGAGAGGAGAGATGGGATATGTGACTCGAAGGAGGGCCGAAAGGATCTGGAGCCTTGAAGTGAAAGGGTATAGAGCAGGAAGAGGGCGAGTTCTAGAGACAAGATTCGTGTCTGGATGACTGATGGGAAAATGGGCTGGTGACACAAGAAAGGGATGCCAGCAAGGGATCTGGCTTAAGGAAGAAGTCTAGGACTTGGTAATGGCTTTGGGAGAAGTATACAGACACAGGTAATGGAGTTGAGCAGAGAGCTCAGGGTTGAATACACAGACTCTGGAGAGAATATGGCTGATAAGGAGGTTGTGAGAATAGCCTGGCAAAGAGAATACTGGAAAGCAGTGGGTGGTCAGTCCAGGCACAGAGAGGGGCAATGGGGACGGAGAAGGAATGAAGAAAAAGCACATAGATAAAACTCTGGTGGAAGATGATGCATTAGGGGAGAGGCAGGAGACACTGGGTATGCAGTCAGGCTGGGACAGTGGAGAGAGTGTCAAAGATGTTCTGGGGCACCCATTCTGACAGCCAGCCCCCTATATGATGAAAATGGAATATCGAGTTAGAAGGGACCTTAGAGGCCGCCTAGCCCAAACCCTTCATTTTAAAGTTGAGGACAGGGCAGCCCAGGTGGCTCAGCGGTTTTAGCACCGCCATCAGCCCAGGGCCTGATCCTGGAGACCCAGGATCTAGTCCCACATTGGGCTCCCTGTATGGTGCCTGCTTCTCCCTCTGCCTGCGTCTCTGCCTCTCTCTCTCTCTCTGTCTCTCATGAATAAATAAATAAAATCTTTAAAAAATAAATAAATAAAATAAAATAAAATAAAGTTGAGGACATATAGCCCCAGAGAGTTACCACAGTTTCCCATAGAGAAGAAATGAAAAGACAAATAGACCAAAAGGTCCTTGCCCAGGGTGACAGAGCTGGGAACTTGGAGAAGCCAGAAATGAAAGCCAGTTGTCTTCTCTTTTATTATTAGTAGTTCATTTATGCTTTCCAACATACTTTATATACCAATGATCTGAATTGCTGAGATCGGGTAATCCTGTCATGTTCTAAGTCCACAATTAGAAACACTAAATAGAAAGGCCAATTTGAATGAAGTTCTCTTCCCTAAAGCCCTGTATTCCCTTTGAACCTCTCTCTGCCTTTTAATGCTGAAGCATGGCTGCCTACGAGGCATGGCCACAACAGACACAGATGGTGACTTGGAGAATGAGGCACTGATGAAACGGGGAGGCAGGGTTCCTGAAGATTCCAAGGACAAGATGGTCAGTTCCCACAGTAAATTGGCCATCCAGAGAGTCAAGGAAGATCGACTGAGACTTAAGACCCAGGGCGGTCACAGAGATCACACAACCAGACCACCCAGCTGGGCAGGGCACGCACAGGCAGGTCCCCCTCAGGCAGGGGAATCACGGGCCTCCAGAGTGTCCATCTGTCCTTCAACCTTGAGTGCTCAGGTCAGGAGGAAACACACTGCAATGTTTTCCAAAGAATAACGAGCAAGACCACTTAAATAGAGTCCACTTAGGTGTAACTTCCTTGAGCTATTTTAGGGTTATGTGGAAATTCAGATCATTTCCAGCTGCCTCTGTACCTGTCTCTGGATCTCTTACCAGCATAAGAGAATAATGCCTAATAGGTCTGTCCTGGCATGTGCTCACCAGGCAACGGCTTATTTTCTCATATTTATGCTGTAGTCAATTTAAAGTTCACTGGAAAAATCTTCTCTGTTATCTTGATGCTGCTCTGAGTGGGCATCTCTGTACAATCAGTGGCACAGAGGAGGTTACGTTAAAACAGGTTTAATCCAGAAGAGAAGGCACTGACTTCTGGACCCAGTGGTCAAGGGTGTGGCTCTGACACTTATCTGAAGCCAACCTGGCAGAGAATAGCAGTGGCAACTCCAACAAAGGAAACAGGGTTGGCACTTGGAACAAACTGGAACAAAATATGCTCAGGAAATGTTTCAGAATACAAAAGAGCTAGCTTAGATGTGCTCCAAGAAAAGCTTTTGAACTCCCGCTCAGTGGTGAGATCCTTGCAAAAGAAATAAACTTGATAAATCCTGTACACAAATCAGAAATGGGAAGGAGAAGTATAATACAAGCTTATCAACAACCTCTGCCACAACCACAACACTAGGGGATGTGACTGCTTCCAGAAGATAAATGACACAGGAACAGGTCTGAAGGGTAACCGTTTCTAGGAAAGGAATGTCACAAGGCAACCACCAACCTGGTTTACCAGATCCCAAATCAGGATGACAGGTCTTTCAAAAGGGATGCTATTAATCCAAATACAGAGTGGGGAAGGACACGAGAATGGAACAAACATTTGGTGACCGCATGTTATGCCAGGAGCAGAAAATACTGTGCCGGTGGCTTTTGGTATATCACCTCACTTTATCCTCATAACAACTCTAATGAGGTGACAGTCTCATTTTATAACTAATAAAAGAGATGTTCTTAAAACCTAGGTGACATGCCTAAAGTCACAATGCCAATAAATGGAGGATTGAGTATTTGACTTGGGACTGTAAATTATATGTGGACATCTTTTTTTTTTTTTAAATAGATCCTTACTTATTTTAATTTCCTTTAGGATTTATGTCTTTCATTTGACATTTACAGAAAAGCTGCTATATAAGATACCACTATTCCAGATGCTGACAATACAGCAATGACTAAAATCTCTGCCTTCAGGAATTTAATTCTAGGGACACCTGGGTGGCTCAGATCATGATCCCAAGGTCCTGGGACTGAGCCCCACGTGGGGCTCCCTGCTCAGTTGAGAGCCTGCTTCTCCCTCTGCCTCTGCCCCTGCTTGTGCTTGCTCTCTCACTCACTTTCTCTCAAATAAGTAAGAACTTAATCCTAGTGTATTAGTACTCCAAAAGTTAATCATTTCCAACTTAGGGTTTCTCTTTCTCACAATGAGAAAAGATAAGGAATCAGTGACCTAAAGAATTTCAATATTCATCCACCTACAGGAGAGCTGAACTGCATACACACTTGGAAGTTTACCAGTATTCACTATTCTGACTTACGTATAACTTAAACACACACTTAAAACTTCAATATGTAATATGAAAGCTGTCACATCAGTCAGTGGTAACTGGATATTAATGGCCAGACCAAAGAAGATGCAACCAGTAGAGGCTCTATTAATATCACTAGAGAATCACTTGAGGAAGTAAAAGTTATACGAGGAAGTAGAAAATTCTGTACTCCAGTCAATAAAATGAAAACCTTAATAACTATATGCTGAATGCAAAAATAATCTCACCAGTGAAAGAAAGTATCTGAGAGAATAAAATTTTTAAAAAATGACTTAAACCACTAATCAGAGAGAAATAAAATAAGCTTCCCACAAGGAGCAAAAGAATATTCCCCAACTTACTAACCTGCCTTTAACCCAACTCAACAGAGAATAAATAATTTGGCCACTAGGGTAACAAGATAATCAAGTATTGTCTAAGTAAAACTTGGCTTGGCAAGCCATGTGGCAAAGTGTCAGGAAAATAGGTGGGATTCTTAACCTATGCACCAGACCCTCTAGGCAGACAGAGAGGGCCCTTCCAGTAGACCCACAGAGGCCAACTCATGAAGGAATTGGCCTGGCAAGTTAGTGGTGGACGCCCATTCAAGTCAGATAAAAGGGGTGTGACGTCAACTCATCCTCACTGTGAACTCCATCCAAAGGACAAAGATGTGGAATAAAGAGGGAGATGGAATTTTCTATGTCAGGTTGTTTGGATCCTAACTTGATGTCAGTGCTGGCCTCTCCCTCCCCTCATTTCCTTCTTGTCCACCCTCTATGAAGAGTGGCACAGGGTAAGGGTAAGGTGGACCCACACTGGCACGGCAAAAATGTTGTAGAGACTAGAGGCCTACCTATCCTACCAGGTTTACATATGTGGCAAAACGGTAAGGGCTGGTGAACCCAGCTGAAAGGCACGTGGGTTTCACTGTACTACTCTTTCAACTTTCCTGTACACTTGACATTTTTCTAAAGTATAAAAATAAAAAATGTTTGAGCAAACGAAAAGCATGCAGTTCAAAGTGTTTGCAATGGAAAGGAATGAAGATGGTATCAGTGCCTACATGTGGGGCACACACTCAGTGGTAAGCTCTGGATAACTTTAAATTTTAAATCTCAAACTATCAACTTCTACGAATAAGCTTGAAGATTAAAAAAAAAAAAATAGGTTTGGGTCAGGCCCTCTCTCACTTCTGCTGTCCGTTTCTCTAGGCCGGAGCCCTGTGCTGGTCAGGTGGCCCCCCAACCATGTTCCTGCACAAGGCAGGTGCCAGGGTCCAGAACCTTGTATCTGAGCTCTGTGGTCTATGGTCACTCTTTGCCCTGACCTTCTCAGACAGTGTGGCAGACACTATCATCTGAGGACAGTAACAGTACCAAAGGATTAAACGGGAGTTTTTCCTATGGCTATAATTGGCAAAAGAACTGCCAATGTGGAAGTGGAAAAATTAGTTGCCAAGGGATGAAAGTCATTCAAATGACAACCTGTCCCACTGCTGGCCATTCCAGGAAAGTAGGGAGTGGAGCTTTTTAATGGGAAGGAAATCTGTTATTCTATATACATAATTCACTCTATGACTGAGTCCGGAAGGAAGGGGAATCTATTTGAGTTCAGTACCTGCCTGACTAGCCCTCTGTTGACCTCCGCACCCTGTCTGTACCCCTGTCAACTCCACCCTCTGGAAGGAACAGAGGACCAAAATATCTCCCCTCTGTGCTCCGCAGGGACTCCCAGGGACCCCACACACTCTCCCTGAAGGGCACAGCCTGATTTCCAGGGCTGGGATTTACCGATGTCACTCAGCAGGGTGAGGATGGCTCCTTCCCGCAGGCCACAGCAGTTCTCAAACTGGTTCAGGTACTGTCAAGAAGTTGAAAAGAAGCATCAGAGTGAGCAGTCCCTAACCACCAACAAGCCCACAATGTGTTTTACCAGCAGGAGTCATTTGAGTGCCAACCCCAGCCCTGGGCTTTGGGGACCTGGGCAGCAAGACTGGGAGGCACTGGCCCTAGGTGGAGGAGGAGGAAGCAGCAATGAGAACCCCCACAAGTGCTCAGGTTCTCACCGGTGAGGGGTCTCATTCTAAGGTGACGGATTCTCATTCTCACCTGAGTTGCAGTTCTGAGGGAGACGGGCCAGAGGCTATGCTCAGCCACAGTGGGAGCACAGCTCCTGAGAGGCCCGCAGAGGGCAGAGTGGAAGGTACTCCCTGAAAACCACGCTCTGGCCGCTTCCCCAACATGGCCTCACTGGGTGATGATGGTGGTGGGGAATGCATAACGAGCACTTACTATGTACCTGGGACCAGGCAAACCCTGCACAGATCGCCTCAGCGGAGCTCTACCTACACTGGGTCATATCATCCTCCCACTGTCACCAACACAAGCACTGTTGGGGTTTCCACCTCACGAGTCAGGAGCCTGAGACGGAGGGGTGCCGTGATGTCTGCTCACACAGCCACTGCAGGGCAGCCCTGGAACATGAAGCCACATCTATCTGAGGCCTGAACTCAAACATCTGCCCTCTTTGCCCCCCTGGCCCGGGCTCAATACACTGCTGGCAGTTGGCCTCAAATGAAAACAATGAAGAAAATAACTTCCAACTCAGGGTTATGGTCATTAACTAATATTTATATCCAAGATCATCCAAGAGCCTGTTTCCTGAGCTGGGCATATACATTTCACTCTTTCAGTCCGTTCTGGCTTCTACACCTGCTCATGGGCTAGCCAAGCTCGTCTCTCTGTGCCCAGGGGAGCAGACTCTGAACTTTTAAGAGGAGGGAAAGACAGGCTACTTCATTTGGAGAACAGAGAGAACTGAGGTCCCAGGTGCTCTGGGCAGGCCACCCCCAGGTACAAGACTGCAAGGACTGCCTGCCTCCCTCAGATCACCCTGTGCCCCACACATCAGGTCAATCGTGCTGCTGTGTGCATCATCATCTTCCCTGGCTGATGAGCTCTTCACTGCCTACCAGAGATTGAGTCTTGGGCTTCTGAGCCCTCCGCAATCTGGTCACTTCCCACCAACTCCCACACTATCCTCTAAGAACCACTCACTCAACCGCAACAACATGACTATCTCCCATTTTAAATAACTGCATTTGGTAATCGGATGATTGTCAAAGGTTATGAAAATAAAGAGGAAAACTGAAGCACTATCAAGTCCCCCATTTCCATTCACTATCAGTCCCCTGCCTATAGGTCATGCCAATGACTGTTCGCATCCTGCCTTGGCCCTCCCATGACCTGCCTATCTCCCATGGCAGGAGAAAGCCAGGCGAGCAGATCAACCCTTGTGAGAAATTTCCTTTACAAAAAGAAGGCAGAAGGGGCCAGAAAAGTAAGGAGAACAGCACACGATGCTGGGCCCAGGAAGCTGCTGTGTCAGGAAAGAAGAGATGCCTGGGTACCCTGCTCCCCACCCTCCCCATATAATATCGTGGCCTTTCTTCTAGCATGAAGAGTACAGGAAGGTGTGCACTAACAGACCAACCTCTTTTCAACACAAAAACAACTTAGTTGTCTAGAGCTTTTATTTTTCCTCCTCCTATGTGGCACCATTCAGTTTCATAGAGAGATGGCCTGCGGTTGGCTTCCCACTGCAGCTGTGTGAGGCCTGCTACTCCACCACATCGTTCTAGGCCATAATCTCCATCCTTCACACAGCAATCCCGCTGTACCAACATCACAGGGATGTTGAAAATCAAACCAGGCCAAGTATAAAAGCAGGTTGTACGAGCCAGTTTCAGAAAACGTTAGGGAAGATGGACAGGCGCAATTGTCCCCAAGACAAGGAAGGGCTGCCACCACTGCCCAATGGCAGTGTATGTTCTCATAAAGAGAAGTTAATGTGCTAAAGGGACGAACGCCCAGATGATGAGTCAGTGGTGGCTCTGGAACGTCGGCCCAGTTCCCTGATTATGAAGTCAGCTCCTTCCTGCCTTACTCTGTGACCCTGGGCGCAGCACTGCCACATCTGTGGGACAAAACCCCTCCTAATAAGGACAGCAGTGACGCTGATGCACTGAAGGATTGTGGTAGCCCTAACATGCCCAGGGAAGAAAAGTTTGTTTTGGAATTTGTCCAGTCTTCCCCGTCCTCAAAACCTGGTGACTTTTTCTTTTCATTTTAATAATCACTGTGCAGTACATACAGCAAGCCCTTCCCTGACTTTCTCGTAAAAGCTTCTGATTCAGTCTCTTGATTCACATCACGCACATGTCACCCCACCCCAAGCATGGAATGGGGGATCTGAAAAGAAAAAGCAAGCCCACTGAAATCCCTGTGGCTGCCTGAGCTTCCTGATGATGAAACGGTGGTGCAAAAGGCGTCCCCACTGCCCCTGCCCAGACGGACTGCGCCCTGCTACCCTGGAAGCCTCACCTTTCGGAGATCTCCTCCTTGGCAGTACTCCATGGCCAGCAGGGGCAGGTCATTGGGAGCCAAGTTCTGCATCCCCTCAGGGACATCCCGGGCAGCCACCACATTGGGGTGGTTCAGCCTAGGAAGGAGAGACCAATGAGGGAAAAACCCAGGCTTTGGCTCAAACCCATTCCCCTCCTTTGTCCATGTCTCAGCAAAGCTTTACAACAGAGGCCTGGACTAGCCAAGGGCCCTTAGGAGTAAACAGGAGGATAGAGGTCAGGAACGGGCTACTTACCTCGGTGCCCGGTCAGTTAGCATCCACCCAGCTCTACTTTCAGCACCACGAGCTCAAGGACTGTGAGTGCATCATGTGCAACTTAAGTTTCTTTAGAGTGCCCCATATCAAGTCCTCACTGTACTTCGAAACTGCTTCTAAAAGCATAGAAAGTAGAGGGACTTCCAATCTCATGCCATTCAAGCAGGGATGGGGGGTGTGTGTGCATGTGTCTGTGTGTGCAAACAAGGTGATACCTCTGTTTTTTAAGAGGTTCATAGAAGGAGCACCTCTATGTTTGAGGTCTTCCAAGATGACTCAGTTGCTAGTTTACCTAAATGCTGACCTACCCCCTCACTACCAGGGAGGACAGATCCATCCAGGGGCTGACAGACAGTCCCTGTACCCACACAGGAGAAGTAAGTACCTGCCATTAGTTCACAGCAGTAGAGAGGAACATACCACCTTAGAATTGGAAATAGAGGAGGGAAGAAAAGCATCTTTGGTGACAAAGGAAAATGCACTGTGATGACTATTTTAAATTATTTAATATGAGAAATAAAACTGACCAAAAGCCCTTTATAAGGCTCAGTGTTGGACACTAATGGCCACTCCTCTAGAAGTCATCTGTTAATCCTGACGGAGGGACTGAGATTTATGATTTTCTTTCCTGGATGTAGCATGTGGGGTGGTTGCTCCAGATCCCAAAGCTCAGAGGGCTCCCTCCAGATTTCATTTCCATGCCCCAACGGGGCCCCTCAGCTCCTGTGGTCTCCTCATCCCCCTGCAATGCTGGCCCTCTCTCAGTTTGGTGTACTGGGCCCTCACCTTCTCATGATCTGAATCTCCAGGCACCACCGCTCTCGATTCCGGGGGCTGAGCTCCTGCCGGCACTGCTTGATAGCAATCTGCTCACCTGTTTCCTGCAGAGAGAGCACACACAGGGACGAGATGAGCAGAGCCCACATCCCAACCCACTGAGAAAGCCATGGGTCAAACATAAACTTGTATCCTTAGGGCCCAAAGCATGGATCACAGGACCCCTGGGATCCCAAGGCCCACATATGTACCCACTGATGGATGGTCCCAAGTCGCTCGCCAGCCTATCAGGCTGGCCTCCACACCTTTGCCTCTTCCTTGACTTTCTGTTTCTAGCCATCCAGAGTCAACACCAAGGCCCTGTTTGGTTCCCACCTCCTCCATGAAACCTCTGCTAACCATTCCTGTGAAAGATATTTCTCACTTCTCTGAGCCCCAACTGCTAGATAGAACCATATGACATTGCTGGTATTGACCATTTTGACCTACACAAATGGCACTTCTTTATAACTCAACCTAACAATGCCACATGCTTCCATTGTTCATACAAGAGTGTTGTCTCCCCAGAGAAGGCAAGTCTAGCATGGTGGCTGGAACACAAGATGATTCAAGTTAGCATTTACTAGCTCTGTGACCTGGGGCAGAGTGCTTGATCTGACTCAGTTTCTTCATTTGTAAAATAAGAATACCTATACCCACCTTCTAGGGCTATCATGAAGCTTAGCACCTAGCAGTGTCCAGCCCCTAGGAGGTGTTCAATAATGCTACTGGGAACAGACCCATGTTATGCAAGTACTCCTGGCATTTAAAATCCTTGGAAAGTTGGCTCTGCTCTGCCTTTCCAGCCTCTCTCCCAAGAGGCCACCCTGGGCATCTGACATTGCAGCTGGATTAGACCACCTGTCCAGTCCTATGCTTTTCTAGTCTACACTTTGCTCACATGGGTACACAGGCACTACCAAAGCCTATCTCATCAGGCTCTTACCTTGCTCTCCAAACAGGCAACTCCTTCATTACACATATCTACCAAAGACTTATTTTCTGTAGAGTCATAGGGTTATACTATTTTCTATGTTAAATTACAGGCTTCTCCATCTTCATGTACTTTAACCTCTTCTCCAGTAACTAGCACACTGCCCTTAGCAGAGATTTTGTGAGTGGAAAAGAAGGCAATCAATGAAACATTTTTAGATAATTAACTGACTGCCTGGGTCTGAGGATTAACTCATCCCTTTTCCTTGGTTCTCTAGACAACACCAAGAATCCCAGGGAACAGACTAAAAGGAAAGAGCCCTAAGACCACAGTGCTGACAGCAGCAGGGACAGTGGCTCTGGCCTCAGGTGCTCTGATCACCACAGGGGGTGACCACTACATGGCTGCCCCCTCTTAGGCCCGTAGGGGCCTCCAAGATGGCTGAGGGACAGTCGATGCCTGTGGCTATGCCCCTGGTAGCACCAGCCGAAAGCTGGTCCTGCCATCAGTGAGCAAGCTGACTTATACCAGTATCCTGTATACTGTGGGTACATGCAGCAACAACCTCCCCAACAGCCTTATGTACGAGGGAAGAGCCAACGCCTGCAGCTGGTTACACTAAATCCTTCAACAAGAAAAGATTTCAGAACAGTACCAAAATTCTACTACTTGCCCAATGGAAGGATATTCTAGAGACCCTGACAGATCGTTTTCTTAGTTTTGTCATTTTATGAAAATGCATACTGAAAAGAATTTCAGTTTTTGTAAGTGTAGCAATTCACATGGTGCCCAATGGAACTTTAAAAAGACATATGTTGAGGGGCATCTGGGTGGCTTAGTTGGTTGAGGGTCAGACTCTTGGCTGCAGCTCAGGGCTTAGTGCTCCAGCTCAGGGCTTCTGCTCAAGATTCTGTCCCTCCTTCTTCTTCCCCCTCTGCTCCTCTCCCTGCTCACACATCTCCCCCCACCACACTAAATAAATAAATAAATAAATAAATAAATAAATAAATAAATAAATAAATAAATAAATTCTAAAAAGATACATTGGGAACCGTGGCAGGACCTGTCGGCGTGCACATGGTTGTCCTTACAGCGGCAGAACTACATCACAGCCACACATTTAACAAACTGGCCATGACCCCTGCCAGAACAAAGACCCACACAGTAAGAAAAGGAGCAATAGAAGTCACCTAATGAGCAGAAGTTGTCTAATAAAATCACTGAATCACTGATCATTAGACCAGTCCCTAAAACTGACATTCAAGAAAGATAAGCTTCAGAAATAAGGTGGAAGCATCTTCTGCTTCTTGTAGCTCCAATGCCAGAAAACAGATAGGACATCTCTACGATCCTCTCAGAAGTTGCTTCTAACAAATCCTAATATTGCTGTGGTTAAGCTGTGTGTCATACAGTTACCTCACATGTCTACATTAAAAAAAAAAAAAAACCTACTGAAATAGAATTCACATACCACACAATTCATCCATTTAAAGTGGGCAGTGTAACGGTGTGGGGTATAGTCAGAGTAGTAGAACAAAAACCATAAATCAATTTTAGAACAAGTTCATCACTCCTGGAAGACATTCCATATCCATTAGCTGTCACTCTTCCCCCAGCCCCATGAGCAAGAGCAAACCACCTATCTTTACAGATTTGCCTGTTCTGAATTTTCACATGAATGGATGGACTCACACAATATGTGGTCTTTCGTGGTGGCTTCTTTCACTTAGCATGATGTCTCCAAGGCCCACCCATTTGGTAGCCACATGTCTACTTTTGTAAGGACAAACACTCTTGGGTGCAGCCCGTGGCACTAATAACCAGTTCCTGCCACACCATTCACACATTGCTACTGGAGTCCCGTTGTTTGGCCTAGATCCTGAGGCACTCTCTGAAGAAGAGCTGAACTCTTTCAAAAATCGTAAATCCTGTTGCTACTGAAGCAATCAGTACAGTTGTACAAGCAAACTCGGGTAGAAATCCACCTAAATCTTTTCATGAGTTAGGGAACATGTGAAAATACTGTCTCTTCAATTGACCTACAGACTGTTGGATCTCACAAAATGTTACACCCTCCATATCACGCACTTCCCAATTCTTCTGTCTGTTCTCAAACCGATTTGAATTTGCTTTCAAGTTTCACTTCCCCTTCATGTTCAGACTCAAACATTTTAGCCCAGTTCTATAGTAACTCTGTCAATGGCAGCTCTGCCATGCCAGTAGAGGTGCTTGTTTCCGGTCAGGTGGGATCTCCATGGAAACTGAGACTGGCACGCACAGTTCTACAACTGATGGGCCAAGTGTAAAACGAGGTAATAGTGCTAAGGGAGTCCATTCACCATGTACCATTTTGATGGACAGTCTGATAAGTAACAGTTCAGCAAGAGATACTGCAACTCACGGTTTGTTACCTCAGAATGATTCAGAGCTTAAATCAAGGTATTTAAAGATCTGCATCCATTTTAACTTCAATATACAGAACAGTGTGTTAGGTTTTTGTTTTTGCCTTTTTTTCACTGCTGCTACTAACAAACTGCCACAAACTTAGTGGCTTAAAAAAACACAAATTTATTTTCTTACAGTTCTGAATGTCAGAAGTCTGGTACAGATCTCAATGGGCTAAAATCAAGATGTCAGCAGGACTATGCTCTTTTCTGGAAGCTTTGGGGGAGAATATATTTCCTTGATCTTTGCAGCTCCTAGAAGCTGCCTGTATTTATTGGCCCAGGGTCTCTGCCTCCATCCTCAAAGCTAACAAGGACCACTGACAGTTACATTGCATCATTCTGACCCTGACTGTCCTGCCTTCCTCTTCCACTTCTAAGCCCCTCGTGATTATGCTGGGCTGACCAGATAGTCTGGGATAACCTTCCCATCTAAGGTCAGCCAATTAGTAACTTTACTTAATTCCCCTTTGCCATGATGACCTACCATATTCACAGCGTCAGGGGTTAGGATAGGGACATCTTTGGGAGGAGCTGTTACTCTGCCTACCACAGAGAGTATGCTTTCTTCATAAAAATGACGAATCAAACTTCAAAGGTAGATTAAGTGATTGAGAAAATATTTTATATAATCTAGCTATACACTGGATAATTGTAGATAATTGCCATCTTCTGTCCAACACAAACACTGGATCCAACACATAGCTGTCCCCCGGCCCAAAGCAGAGTCCAGAAATAGATTTTAATACTGAAGACTGATACTAAAAACTGGAGATGTGCTATTAGCCTCAATATCCGAATTCAAATTAAAAAGTGAACTTGGCAATATGAATACTGAACCCATGGTGGGCTAACTGGGCAGAGACACCAGAACTCACTTTCTATTTGTGGACAGCTCAGTCCTATGGCTGTAGGGGAAATCCTAACTCCATGGGCTGGGGAATGTCTTACACGGATACAGACACACTCAACCTTTTCTTATATATAAGGGGCCCTTGAGGCAGTATTCTAAAGCATTCCAGTTTTCCATGAGTAATACTGCATTTGAAACAGAAACCCACACAGAATGACTTTCTGTTGCTAAAAACATACCTGTTCTAGAAAGCAAAATTCAATTAAACAGTTCAGAAACAGACTAAAAATACTGGTTTTGAAACCCTGGGGAGTTTGTTCTTCACTAGCAACAAAACTCCAAGAGCAGAGGATGACTTTCTTTATTTGAGCTGGAACTTCCTAGAGTCTTAGCTCAGTTCTATGGAAACCTAGACTTGGCCCAAATCATCTCAACACCCAACTTCTGGTAAGTGGACTCATGTGGGATGAAATTTAAAGTGGGTTTGTATTTTGAGAAAATGGAGACAGACGCCAACAGTGTCATCCATATTGAATGCAGTTTACTATGAAGGTCCCTCAAGTCTGCGACTCTTTGCACGTGAAAATACAAAACTTGGGGCCCCTGGGGGGCCAGTGGTTGAGCATCTGCCTTTAGCTCAGGGAGTGATCCTGGGGTCCTGGGACTGAGTCGGCATTGGGCTCCCTGCAGGGATCCTGCTTCTCCCTCTGCCTATGTCTCTGCCTCTCTCTCTCTCTCTCTCTCTCTCATTCTCTCTCTCTCTTATGAATAAATAAAACCTTAAAAAAAAAAAACTTGTGTAGAAATAGGGTATAGTATCAAGTCGGGGGGGGG